GAGGGGGGTAGGAAATTCGAAATTTGCGGTGTTTGGAACTCTCCGCTCCTATTTTATTTGTTTTAAGGTAAACAATTCAACATCATTCCTTGAAGTTTTTGCAGGATTTTCTTCACCCGGAGAAGAAAAATCATGGCAGTTTTTAAAAATTTAAGTTGAGTGGTTTTCCTTTTAAAAATGAAGTATGAGAGGAAGTTTGCCATGCCGCGAACCGAGATATGTGGTTACGGACTTTAGCCGTCAATATAGTCTTCATGAATGGATCCTTTTAGAAATTTTGTTTAGTTTAATCCCAAAAAATTCAAATATGCAGTCGAATTTTTTTTTTAATTTTTTTATAACATTATTCGGTGATACTTGTGATGATAGTCATACAATTTCTCATGGAAACAATACCTAATCAGTGTCTACCACGAGATACGGAGTGACTCTGGTTTCTTTTATTACACATGTAGCATGTCCTCAGAGTATTAGAAAATGGCTACTTTTGGTAATCCATCGGCTATAAATACTTCATATCGGTATCAATCTTATCTTGCCCAAACCAACTTACACGAGGGTCTTTAACCAGAAACAGCTTACACGTCATTGCTACCTCACGAACATGGAGTGTTCTTGCGCAGACTGCCGTACTAAGGAAAAACGCCATATGAGCCTTCAGACGTTGCCAAGTTTCCTTCAACAAAAACCGAATTTACTGAGTAAATTGTGAATATTTTTTTCTAAAATTTTCAGACTATTTTGTACGCAACTTAATCTAAAATATCCAAAAACTTCGGAGAAAATTTGCATGAATGTCGTCAAAAGTACATATTTTATCAAGAGAAATTAGGCAACTCTCGAATGTTCGTACGGCGTTCTTCCTTATAGCACCACAGATCGGGCGGTTAAAAGCGCACAATCGTCAAATTGTTGCGCAAACGAATGAGTCAAAAACCCATAAAACCATTTGTATCATTCATAACTACTATAAATTTACAGCTTTTTACGCAGTTGCCGGTTATGGCAAAAAGCTGAATCCAATCTTCCGATAAATAGAGTGTTCAGCGGAATTCTCTTCGGATTTCGCAACACCGCGGCTTTCGATTACTGCCCGTGACTGTCGAACGCTAGTCCTGACTCAAGGACTCGCAAAAGGTCACCGATGGTTCATGCTAGACGCTTTGCTTAAAGGCCCATTTCTTTTGACCAAACGAGCGACATGAATTTCAATCCAAATCTGTCAAATAAGTCTTAACTCAAATCGGTCGCCGACAAAACATTTAGGTGGTTGGGTGTGTTTTAGGCCGTATATGCAGATGAGTTGAAACTGAGCAACTCTAAACTAATAGTGCTATGCATGAGATAAAAAAGAGGAAAAAACTGAGAGACCATATGTTAGTATACTGCCGTGCTAAGGAAGAACGCCGTATGAACCTTAATGCGTTGCCAAATTTCTCCTGGCAAATCACAAATTTTCAGGAAAATTTTTGAATACTTCCCCACCAATTTCTCAGATAATTTTGTTTGTAATTTGATCTGAAATTTCTGAAAATTTCAAGGAAAAATATTCATAAATTTCCTCAAAAATAAACATTTTATCGAAGGGAATTTGGCAAGTTATCGAATGTTCATACGGCGTTCTTCGTTAGCACGGCAGTATAATGCTTACTTTTCTAACTGAAAGCTACACGTTCGGAACTGGCATTTGTTTAATTTCTAACGCAGTGTTGTATTTAAACGCTGCATCCTATATATAATATTAAAAAGAATATTAGTTAGAAGTCGAAGTAAATGCGTATAATTTTATTCCTGCTTAGCTCTGACAATGAAATATGTTTTAAGCAATGTACGTAAGCATAATTATGATAATAATTACCTAAGAAGTTATAAAAAAGTTGCCTGTCCGTATTCTGGAAACTTCAACGCAGGGTAAAAAGGTAGAGCACAGTGCCAAATGCAATATTTACCAATGGTATTTCCTCACAAACAATGGAAAACGTTATTCTACGTAGATGGTGATCTTAAATGATTCATTTAATCAAAAATACCAGTGAACATATATTTCTCCTTTGAAACGTCTCCTCCCTCACATCTACTTCCGCACCACATTTGTGTGCCCTCAAACTTGCTCTGAAAAGCCAAAATGCGTGATACAACTATTTCAGCTCCGATGTTGCTCAAATTGCATAACCAACGAATCGAAGAAAATCAAAGTCTTCCAGCAATTAGTCGATTCCCTCACAAAACACGTACCTAAATTTCGATGATGCCAAATTTCCTCGCACAAATTGCATTTTTATCGGGAGAATCTGGGGCATTGCTAATTGAAAATCTCTCGCATTTCTCTACTGATCTGTAAAGATACATTCTTGTCAAAAATAAAATTGTTTGATTGTTTGTTGTCAATTGTGCAATCATGGAATTCATTTACGTCCCTTCGTCCGGGAAATGAAGAATTTTGCACACGCGGACTTGAGAAAAATTCGTAAATCGTGTAATTATTTTTAGAAGACGTTGTATTATAGTTTGAAGAACTCAATAAGTGACTATCCATGAGGAGAAAGACTTTCATTCCCAGGGGAATGTGACCTTTGTCAAGCTAGGAACCAAATAAGCCCAATATTTGAATTGCACATCAAAGAATAACTTATGCGCAGATACTACCTGCATTTTATTCTAGTAGTTTTGACATTTGAGCGAAAGAAAAATGATTTTGAGATTAGACAATTTTACTGAAGTCAACCTAACTACATCAGACGTCACCCATAGCCTCTTCTAATCGCATACCTTTTTAACAAAAACCTCAACGTAACGTACACAAAAAACACATAAGACGTATTAAAACATTCCGGTTTGAAATTATGTGCGCATAAATTCCTCACGGTCCTAGGCTACAAAGTTCAAGTTGTGTATGTTGCTCAGAATTCTGTTGAAAAAAGAAAACATGGGAGGAAATTAGGCATCGAGAAATAGTTACCTTCCGGCCAAAGTATCACAACGACGATATGCGTCGTTAAAAAATTTTCACCGCCATTTTCTTTTTTTAAAAGAGAAATTGTTAGTTGAATCTGTTTGAGGATTTCACTAAATTTTATTGGAAGCACAAGGAAAATTCGAGGAAATTTTCGCGAAAATTTTTAAATGTCGCATGGCGCTTGTGGCACTTTGGCCGAAGGTGACAAAATGACGTTAGGCTAATTCTGAATTGATTCATCGAGAGAATGTTGCTGCTGTTGAAAAAATATCAAAATATTTTTCAAACATATTCTTGCTCCGCAATAATATCGGCAGTCGGTGTCATTCAGTTGGCAACGCAGTCGCAGTGTTGATTGCGACAAAATCAGACAGAGTTTGATTGACGCTGCGCGGACTTAGTTGCACTTGGAAAGGCAAAGGCCTTATGGAGAAGGAGCTACGTATTAGCAAAGCGGGCCGCAATGCGCTTTGTCGTTTAATTTACGCACGAATTAGTGGTTAATAGAGCGGGTAATAGGGCACCTTTGCAACGCATTCGCAATGCTGCACTTCAAATCCCCAACTCCGAGTTACCACTCCCCTCCGTTATGCACCCATTAACAACGTATGAAATTTGAGCGATTTCAGCTTCTCATCGTTATATTAGGGCCGAATTGAGCTGAAGGGACAAGGTTATATCCAGTGTTCGAAACTCACCTTTGAGTTTTAGGAGCCATGTGGCGCATAAAGCTCGATTTTTAGGCGCCGTTGAAGATTTTTTAGGAGAAAAATTGACTTTTTGCCTATATATTACGGCGCATTTAGTGAAAAGTTAGATGCAAGATGTTCTCGTAACAGAACGAGTAAGTAGCTGTAACTTGGGGAAGACAAAAGCACAAAGGATGAAATCGTGAAGAATAGAAAAAGCTTTCACTTGTAGTGCTGAGAATTTTGAATAAGCATCTGATATGAAAATTCAGATTTTTAGGGGGCAATTTTTAGGGGCCACGTTGGCGCAGAACCTTCATGTTTTAGGCGCCATAGTCGATTTTTTAGGCGCATTTGGCGCGTTGTCGCCTGTGAGTTTCGAACACTGGTTATATCAATGGCTAAGCCCCATGAGCTTGGAATCCAGGGCTTTTCAAAATTTCCGTAAAAAAACGTGATCAGAGGCTCCTTAGGCTTTGGTCGTTCCGGTTTTCCGATTACCACAAACAGATACATCAAAAAGACTATTTTATTTTTTAATAAATTGTTTCATCTCTCTCCTTGGTTTTGTAAAAGTAGTGCATCTTTATAGTTTGAATTTGTCAATAATGTTGAGTTGTAACTTTCACGGTTGAAATAAGCTTTTGAAAGACATTAAATGTGTCTAAAAGTGTATTTTGTACATTTCCTAATGTGCGAAATAATAGGGGAAAAAGTAAAGAAAAATCGATGGCTTAAGTGCAAAATCGCGTATTTCCTTCAGGGAGTGTTTCAAAATTTCCGCTCCTATTTTATTTATTCCGAAGAGAAACAAGCCAACTTTATAAATTCAAATTTTTACGGAATGTTCTGCGGGCAAAGAAGAAAACTGAGGGAAGTTTTCAAGAATTTATGTTGCCTTAGTGTACTGAAGGGAAAAAGTATAACAGGCATTCTGCAACATCGCCAACGGATGTACGTGGTTTCGTATTTCGGCCATCGAAATATCTACGCGCGACGGTGAAACTGAAAAAATGCGTGTCTCGGTTGCGATTTTCAAATCTCTGCACCTATTTTATTCTCAAAAGGTGACCAAACCCACATCATGACTTAGAATTTTCACAGAATATTCTTCACATAAGAGAATCTTCCTCAAAACCTCAAAAATTTTGCATTTGCATTATTAAAAAGTGCAAAGTTTGTATCATGTATTGCAAATTCGAGCTTTGAACTTTAGAACGGGGATCAGCTCATCATAATGTCTCGCTTTGGACAGATCTGAAAGGAACTCTCCGCGTCTCCAAAAACCGAGGCACATTTTTGACAAGCTTTTTCAGGGGCTTGGACGACAAGGCGCATAGACACAGTTTCTTAAAAAAATTGAGGTATTAATGATTTCAACTGAAGATGTTTTAATGCATATTCTGTGAAAAATTTGTTCCCAAATTCAACTTTTCAAGCATCAGATATTCAGTTGGAATTTTCTCTCCGCCATGAGGTTCCATGTAATTTCGAAACTTCAAACACGTATTTCTCGGAATGGCAAAAACTGCTCTTATGCGCCTTGTCCTCCAAGCCCCTCATTTATTTCTTTCAGATTTTTCTTGATCCATAAATCTTTCTGAGGTTCAAATCGGGGCATTGAAAGTAAAGATGCAATGAAGAGAAGCTGTTATTCCGAATTTCCTCGTAATTTTACGTTTAAAACTTCAAAATTACCTAATTAAAATTCTTCGTTGATGACAAAAAGTCCTAACCAGTCTAATCTTTTACGCTTTCTGAGAAATACGAGGGTCATCCAAAAAGTAAGTTTCCCTTCCTTGTATCTTCTGAACGAAAACAGATAAATTAAATCGGTAAACAGACACATATTAGGCACACTCTAAGCTTCAAAATAAGTTCAAGTTTTTGAAAATCGGTTAAAGGGTTCGCGAGGAAAGTTAATTTTACTGAGACAACCTCCTGTCACCGCGTGCCCACCTCCCGGGTCAGGATGCGCGGAGAGTCGATTATTTCAGACTCGGGTATTCGCCTCTAAACATCACATCAAAAAGGAATTTAAAAGTTTTCATTGAGTGGGTCTTACCTTTCTTTTTGACGGAGGCTCCACATCTTCTTGACATTTTTGGTATCATTGCAGCAGCTTTTTGATGCCTTCCGCGTAGAATCTCTCGCCCTGGCTCCGAAACCAGTCATTTACAGCGACCTGTACCTCTGAATTGGTTGACAATCGCTTTTCATCGTGGAAGTTTTTTCGCTCGGGAACATATGAAAGTCACATAGGGCTAAATTAAGAGAGTATGGAGAATTGGGGGAAAATTTCCCAACGCAAAGCAACCGATTCAGAGGTACAGATCGCTGTCAATGACTGGTTTCGGAGCCAAGGCGAGAGCTTCTACGCGGAAGGCATCAAAAAGCTGCTGTAATGATACCAAAAATGTCAAAAAAGATGTGGAGCCTCCGTCAAAAAGAAAGGTAAGACCTACTTAATGAAAACTTTTAAATTCCTTTTTGATGTGATGTTTAGAGGCGAATACCCGAGTCTGAAATAATCGACTCTCCGCGCATCCTGACCCGGGAGGTGGGCACGCGGTGACAGGAGGTTGTCTCAGTAAAATTAACTTTCCTCGCGAACCCTTTAACCGATTTTCAAAAACTTGAACTTATTTTGAAGCTTAGAGTGTGCCTAATATGTGTCTGTTTACCGATTTAATTTATCTGTTTTCGTTCAGAAGATACAAGGAAGGGAAACTTACTTTTTGGATGACCCTCCTATTATGCGTTGACCCCCAATTCACAAAGCTCCTTCCGTCCAGTGAGTAGGCAATTTACATTAACTTTGAGTTTGGTTTTTTGCCTACGCTATTCATTGAAGGAAATTCACATTTGCCGTGAAAGCGCAGCGAACACGGCAATACGTAACGGTTATCTATGGCAGCCTATATCAGGGAGTGCAAGAATGAAAGTCTAAGAAGATTTTCTTTTTATCAGAGTTTTAGAATAGTACGCGTCATAAAACGCATATTTTAGTTAGAAAGTAATTCACTGGATGAAAAAAAAATACTAATAAAATTCACTAATAAAATTATAAAAAAGAAAACTAAAAAACAATTACAATACATTGGTACAAATATATAGGTACACATATGAATGGGAGTAAGGCAATAAACAAAAATTTAAAATGTGACGATCATCTGAGGTAATGAATCACTTTTTAAGATGTGTTCTTCAGGGTATGTTGGTCAGGGCGAGTGTGTGTTTTCTATGTTATTCTAAACCCAATTTCTCTAGTTTACATTTTTCTTTTGTATAATTTCAAGGATTCCATAAACTTGTTTAATTCATCAACGTGCTTACATGATTATATGTGGATGCGTTCATCGCCCGAGAGGTAGTTTCTCGCATGTCGTCGGACATCGGTAAAAATTCCGAACGAGAATAAGGGTGACAGGTTTCATTAAAAGCCAAACTTATAGGATTAACCGATCGTGGGTGGTGATTTTTGTGAGGCGTACTGCTGGGGAGGCGGCTGCTGAAGGATTCAGAGCCCATCCAGGAAATTTCAGAAGAAGCTAGCGGTTCACCAAAGTCCATTTCCGCACGTAAGAGAACTTTTGTGATTTGATTCTCGGCCTCGGCTTTCGCGTGTCGATCGAAATTCCTCAATTTCCCCGCAACGTATGAGCCAAAATAGTCGCACTCATTCGCCGGGATTGCAGAGAAGTTATTTGCTACTGCAGAACATGCACATGCAGCTGGACAGGCCTTTGCTGAATTTTTTATCGTGCCGCTTCCTTGCTTCGAGAAATGTTGTGTTGATGCTGATGAAGTTCGAACATTATTGGGTGTTACATTCGCGAAGGCTGAGGTATCAGAATTTTGGCTCTTTTCGGATCGATCTTCATCATCGGCACTGTCAGCTAATCTATCTGTAGATGCCATGCCTGCCTGGAGAAACCCATGAAACTCGATTAGGATATAAATAACCCTATATTGGAAAAAAACAAATAATGTAGATATACAGTATACGGCCGTGCTAAGGGGAAACGCCGTATGAACCTTCAGGCGTTGCCAAATATACTTTGATAAAACACGGATTTCCTGATAAACTTATGAATATTCTCCTTCCAACTTTTTAGATAATTTTGTTCGCAATTTCATCGAAAGTTCCTGAAAATTTCAAGGAAAAATATCCATAATATTCCTTAAAAGGAAACATTTTATAGGAGGAAATTTGGCAACTCTCGAATATTCATACGGCGATTTTTAGCACGTCAGTATATTAGGACGTATTACTAAGAAACGGAACTATAGACGGGAAGATGAGGTGTGCTCAAGAAAGCTGGCATAAGAAACAATGTAAAAGAGGGTGTAGTTCCCTTTGGAGGAATGAAAGAGGGATTTATTTGATAAATTCTATCAAACGGAACTATGTGTCAACTGAATGCGGTACTCATGAGCCATGGGCATGTGAAGAGAGCGTTTTGGGCAGGGCTCATGAGTTACATATAAATGACGTCGACTTTATTGAACACCGTTACCTCCTGACCCACTGACCGGATGCGGATGCGACATTGACATTGTATACTTTCAAATGAAACTGAGTTTCCCATTGAATCTTTAACCCTTAATATTCACGGAGGAAACATAGTGAAACTCACTTTTTGGGAGACCTTTTTACATAATTTTTTTTTTAAAAACCTATAAAAAAATTAAAAAAATAAAAAAATAAATAAATAAATAAAACCATATGTACAAAACTGATTATATGGTTGTCATTTATTTCATGTATTTCACTCATGAAAAATTAACAATCAGTTTGTTAAAATGACCCACTTATCAATTTAAATATATGATCCATTAAAAAAAACAGCGCCAATTCGGCTTAACTTTATACGCCACTCACCATTTTTGAATTAGCTCTTCCTTGTAACTTATTTCCATCCGTTAGAAAATTCAGACTTTTGAACGCGAATGAGGTTGATTCGGTACTAAGGCCTACCACAAAAACATTCCAAGGATTACAAATAAATTATTTTCAAAGATATGTCTTCTTAAAGATAGTGGGGAAATTGAATGGGTCTTTATTATAATTTTTGCTCTTTAATTTACATGAACAAAATATCAAGCAAGTCCGCCGTGCGGGTCACCGGTTTGTTTGTCATAAATACTGTACATTAATATACTTTCGGTATCTCCAGCGGAAAAATTTAAGGCGCAATGGTCTTCAATGGCAACTCCAGGATGCAACTATACGTGCTCAAAGGATTTCCGTGTTGCATACACACAAAATTGCAGGCGTTTTAGTGATCTTAATCCAAACGCCCAGTGACGACTGAATATTGAATATGCCAAAGGATTTTCTGAGTTGCACGTTATCGCGTTGATTGAAACAAACTTCAATAATTGAGTCATTTATGCAACACCGTTGCAGCGTTGCCAAATAGTGCGATTCATGAAAGTCTTTTCTGTAACGATTTGCGGAATTGATATTTGCGATGACTGTATGGAGATGTTTTTGATTCAAAATTTTGCGGAAGTGTCGTGCAGCCCAAAATGAAGTGCTTGAACTTAAAACTTTTGAAAAATGTAAAAAACTTACGCTTTCATTAAATGATTTATCGATGATCGATAATCAATTTTGGTTGAATTTACCCAACTATACCTGCTGTTTCAACTTGACTCAACTTCTTGACCATCTCTTTTTCCCATCTGAGGAAATGCTTTAAGCCGCTCATTTTTTTCTCAACTTCATCAACCGGTTTACCCAGAGCCATGGCAATTTCCCTCCAAGCTTCGTATTTCTTCACTGAACTGTGAGCGCAGTTTTCCGACTTCCAAAGCACCGGAAACTTTTCGTAAAGGTTGATTAAACGAAATTCCTCCTCGTTACTCCAATCGACCATCGGGATAATCGAAGAGGATCAATTAAAATAGCCGAAATAACCGAAACAAGTAACAAAGGAAGCACACTGGACCGTTTTTGAAACGAATTTAATCGAAAAACCCGCGATTGGGCAGCTGGAGAGGATGAGCAGAGAGGAGGGAGACAATTTAAAACTCAAAACCGTGCTATGTAATCATATCAGTCATCAGTGTTGCCAAAATGGAACCTTAACTACAAAATTGTGTACATAAGGTACCAAAGTAGTCATGAGGCCATGGCACTGTAATATACCATGATTCTCAAAGAGATTAAGTATTGCTTCTTATTGTGGAATTGTTTAGCATCAACGAGCTTTTTTAAAATCTGGTACTAAAATCTGTCAGCATCCTAATCAAATGAGGGTGAATAGCAGTAACGTACCTAAGTGTAATGATAGGCCGACAGCTTTTTATTACGTAAATTTTGATTTGTACGCTCGTCTTAGTTGTGGGAGTTGAGTTTCGACCCGGAGAAACAATCCAGAATTTAAGTTTTACCGCAGTTGTATAGTGTTTTGTGCCGGGTCGTGAAAATGATCCGGACGTCCAACTCCGTGATAGGTGTGGTTTTGTTCACTCTGAATGTTTGCTTGAAAAATATTGTAGCACTGCGGACGCCTACTTCAATAAAATTGCAACTGGATATGTACGATATTGTGCCTGATATTATAGACACGTTTCCTCAATTTGAATGTGAGGTTAGAATACTTTTTTGTAGGTAAAATTTCGCCAGGATACTGTGGTGGTCAGGTGCCGCAGAGGGCTGTGAAAGTGGCTCTTATGTATGTAAACCTCGTCTATTTTAAGTATTTCAGCTGTGGTTGAAAATCCATCTTGCATTTGAACTCATGCGCTTCCATGTCACCGTTGTAAGAGACAAGATTTTTCAACCCATAATGGATGGTTGGTAGATACGTTTATTTAGTGTTTTTAACAATTGAGCCATTAACACCTTAGAGAAGAGATTATGCCTCTCCGCGAAAATCTGAGAAAATATGCTCAATTTTTTGAGATGTAACGCAAAAAAGATCGCATACAACGGTAAAAAACACTTTTATTGCATGAAAAAAATCAACTAGATCAGTCTCCCCTTTCAAAAGATAGACCTTCCCCTGACCTTTTCCTGTTTTAATAGCAAAAACGGAGAAATACCCATCTCAATTTGTGATATTGCTATTATCCCGCCGCATTTTTTTTTTCGTCGAAGGCAAAATAATGATGACTTTTTCTTGAAATTATGACTGAGCTTTCTTCCTGCCATGCTTTTTTGTGAACCCTTCGAACAACATTATCACTCTCTCCTTTATTGGAAAAATTAAAACAACAAGGGAAATTTTGAAACGTCAGAATGGAGGTAAGTATTTTTCGAATTTCATATTCCCCTCTGATTTTTGTATTCTTTTCGCAGATTTTCCACAAATCAACGGCCGAAATTCAAAGCTTCTCAAACGGTGATCAAACTTTTTTTTTATTTATTTTCAATTTGAAGCAGGTGGGATGTAATAATGGTTCCAATTTTTAATTTAAAATACCCTCCATGCCGTCACTGATCATAAATTTAAGTAACTGATTTTTGTACAGTGTTAAGCCAGGTTTAACCGGTAAAACATTTATTTTCAGGTAGTATTCACAGGTACAAATTGTCCAGAGGACGGTAGGCTGGTTAATTTTGGAAATGAAATAGATCCCGCTGAAACTAAAGAGGAACCCTCAATTGAATGGCCAGCAGACCCAAATTTGAATTATGCTCTTGTATTTATTGGTAAGTTCCTATGGTAGTCAGATTTTGAAGGATAAGAAGAGAACCCCACGACCCCACGACCCCTTGTATAATATTCACCATCCGCCTCCTTTACACAATTATGCTTGAATCATAGGAAGCCGAGGCAATTAAATCAAACATGAGTATCTGATTGAAATTGTTCTCAGACTATGCACATCATTAAAATGACCTCTTTTGACATGCGGAGGAATTGTTTTGTGTGTAATCATACTCGAGTTGAATTTCTGTCTGATCAATAATTGTAAATAATGTATACAGGTCAGCAAGTCATTGCCGCACTGAAAAAAAACCTTCAATTTGCCGCCAAGAAGTATTTTTTCTTAAATCAAGAATTTTGGTGCTCAATATAAACTACTTGTTTGCTTACCCCAAGCCTTATTTTCCTTGCATCCAGAAAAATTCAGCTTGAATGAAGATAAATAAAATTCTTGGTGGCAAATTCAAGAATCATCATGCTTGAGCCAAGCAAATATTTTTCAGTGCGGTGAAACGCCTTCAATTTGGAGAGTATGCAATCCGCGAATGTGCGAACCCCTTATGTTCGCCAGCACTCAGGGCCCCTGAGTACTAATCCAGCCCAGTTTATATATCTGTGTATATACCAGTATATATAAACTCACACTCTTTTCTCTGACAGATCCTGACGCTCCAAGCAAGGCGTTACCAACCATGCGAGAATGGCAACACTGGCTTGTGGTCAACATACCCGGAAATGATATCACGTCCGGAAAAGTGCTTACTGAATATGAAGGGGCGTCACCTCCAAATGGCACAGGTACAAGCATCATGAGAATAAAGTGATATCAAAGATGTCATCTCTTTTCAAGGGCGAGATATTGGTTTTTTCATCATTGATCTCCCGTAGAAAAAAGTGCCTGAGGGCCCAACAATCCAAAATTGAGTCGTTTATACCACTGTATAGAGGAGTTACTAGCAGGCATTTTGAGGCAAGCCCCTCTCAAAAATGGCAAATCGACCTACGTTTACGTTGGTTCGAAATTGTATGAGTTTAAAATTAACATAGTTTTGAAAATAATGTATCAAACATTTAATTTTTCTCATCCAGGGTTCAAAATTATCGAATTCGGATGTATACTTGGATCTTTTTTTGAAGCAAAAAATTGGTATATTTTCCTCTCAATTAATTCTTTTGGGTACGAAAGTATAGCGAGTATTTTTCTCAAAAACTGGTTTTTCAATTTTTTGGCCCAAAGTGAGAATAAAAATCATGTACTACATCCATTCAAGCCGCTTCTACAGCGCGCCCGGGCACTCCACGACATCTAATCGCCACTCTTGTCTATCGACCCAGAGGTCATTTTAAAAATGATGTACTACAAATTTTATTACAAAATTAGTACCCGCGCCTTGACATCCTTTTCCGCATGTACGGTCATATTCAGCATGTTCCTGTTTTACTTTCCTCCTCCGTCCGGGATGATTAGAAACATAAAGATAAATCAATCCGCGCGTGCACGTATTTGAGAGGGCCTCCTCACACTTTTTTGCAGTATCTGCTTTAATCACGGAGGTAAACTTACTCATGAATCGCTCTTTTAGAATGATGACATTCAGTTTTAGTTCAAAATATTCTGCTCTCAGACTGACACCCTCGTCAATGAAGTGCCATTGCAGAGGGGGACCTTTATTCTAAGAAGAAAGGTACCAGAAGTGTCTGACAACAAACTACGACAAAAACAATTCTGAAAGTTTACTTTATCTTCGAAATCAAAATTGTCTAATTTTACATTTTCGGATCAAACACGAATTTGAAAAATAAATTGCCTAAGCAAATAAAAAAAGCACATTTTTACGTGTTTATGTTTCCAGGTCCTCATCGCTACGTTTTTGTTGTTTATCAGCAGCCGAGGGAAAATATGACGTTTGACGAACCTACGATCATGAAAGGGTAAGAGGGAAACAAATTTAAGTTATAGAGAATTGATTTTAAGCAATGACTGCGTGAATTCAAATTTAGTGGAACTATAAGTCACCGACTAAAAACGCCGCAAAGGAGAAAGGTTTATGCTATACTTGCTCCTAAAAGACGGTGATGAGGTTTTTTTGAGGAGGCACCTAGCATTTTTTTATATATATATCTCCTTTAAGTATAACATTTAGGAACATTTTATCTCAAAATATGAATTTTAGCTTGCAGATGTCACAATGTCACAATGCACTAACGTCTCTCTCTTGAAAAGCAATTACCTAAGTGCACATTAATTTAATTCAAGTAAAAAGGAGTAAATTAAACAAAATTAATCATACGACCGCGACAGTAAGACAGAAAAACAAAGACCACTTTTTCAGGAAATTGTCTCTTTTCTTCGGCTTCCGGTGGCTTTTTCTGTCATTCGGTTCTCTTGATAACTTCTTCTTCTGAGCCTCTGGCATATTTAAGAATCCGTTCCCATTTCTACTTAATAATTTTGATTATGCCAACACTTATGCCTCGTCTTTATTTGCTGTGCAGCTCCATAATTTAATTTTCAAGATAAGGTATTTTTCACAGATCTGGTTAAATATCCTAATAAGTTTATTTTCTCTTGTAGATCTGAACAGTATCGCGCCATATTTTGTACCAAAAGCTTTGCTGATGAAAACAAATTGGGAAAGCCCATTGCAGTAAACTTCTTTCAGTCAGAGGTCCCAAAAAGAGAGGAAGATTTAAGTCTAATCGATTCCATTAATTAATTGATTATGATGGTTGGGGGAAGAGAGAAATTGGAATGGAATTCGAGCACTTGAATAAGGAACCAAGCATTCGGGAACACGACGCAAGGAGACAGATCGCAACACCTTCATTTCGTATTGGTGACCTTAAAAATGTTATGTAATTTTATTCGTTTTTACGTACACAAGAGAAGTTTTTGTTCTAGTCACAACACACTCCAACATCTGACATTGATATAATTAAAATTATAAATTCTCGAGATGTGTCGGGTGAGTCTAGACTGACTTTTCTTTCTCTTTCCTCATACTTCCGTACCGTCTCTTCCCTCTTTCCCCAGCAAACAGCACTAACAAGAACCTGACTATGGAATTACAGCAAGGGAAAAGAAGTGCGTTGATGACGGCGCAGAGATACAACTATTCGTACTGGATGGATGTCCGTGTTGCATAAGCAGTCTAATTGAAGGCGCGATGGCGCGAGGCGTGAAGCCGCGATGCTTCGCCTTGTGCTGCCAATGAGGTGCCGGAAAAGAGGCTCAATTCTGCTGTGCAAAGGAAGATCGCCGTATGAGCCTTCAGACGTTGTCAAATTTCCTTCGATAAAAACCAAATTTAATGCGAAAAGTGTGAATATTTTGTTCCAAAATTTTCAGACAATATTGTGCGCAAATTGATCTAAAATACCTATCTGAGAGTTTTGTGGAAAAAATACAAAAATTTCCCCCCTTTATGCAAATGAAATATTTTTACTGTTTGACAGGCATTGAAAAGTTCAATTGTTTTCCGAGATTTTTGATGACGATTCCTTTTTAAGACAGATACCTACCAATTTTTGATAATTTTGAAGGTGCCAAGATAGCACTCCAAGCCACTTCTGCCATTTTGGAGTTTTAAAATTCAAAACTTTGACTGAAAATTCGACCTCTACGTGAAAAACATTCACTGCCACCAAGTCTCACAAAAATAAATCGAACAGGCTCCGAGATAGCATTTTAGGCCGCATTCAGTATAATGGATTTTTAAATTATGAAAATTTGAGTTGGAATTCAAGGTTTCCATCAAAGAATGCCACCTTGTACCGAGTTTCAAGAAACGTCCTGGAGTGTATTGACGGCGGCAATCGTGATCTTCTGCCATCAAGTCGAGGCGAAACTCTTGAAGGCGCTCTGAGCAACTATATCACCTCGAAAGTATTGCACAGTATCAGACGAAATTGAAGGCGCACTAACGTGGGCAACTTGACTGGTAGCGTCTATCGTACGATATGCGACTCCTGATCGATCAATTTTTTTGAAACTCAATACCACGTGGTATTTTTTGACGGGAACCCTGAATTTCAACTCAGATTTTCATTATTCAAACTTTGGAAGTCTAGTTTTTTTGGACAGGTCTGGACCATTGGAACCTTATTTTGCCAAATTAAGAATAGGTCCCTATATCATCTTAAGTTTTTGTGGTTTAATTAATTCCTCTAGTGCCTCAGCTTCAAAATTTTGAATTTTCTTGCGGAAGAAGTTAGGTTAGGTTATCCGAATGTTTCTGGACTTTCTTGAACTATTCTGCCGTGCTAAGGAAAAACGCTGTATGAACATTCGAATGTTGCTCGGAAAATATGTATTTTTAAAGAAATTTATGGTTATTCTTTCTCGATATCTTCAAACACTTAGGATAAAATTACGAACAAAATTCTTTGAAAATCAAAAGAAAAATAATCACAAATTCCCCTAAAAATTCGTGATTGGTCGTAGTAAATTTGGCAACGCCTGAAGACTCATACGGCGTTTTTCCTAAGCACAGCAGTATTGCAGCCTCTAGGTATCTAGGTGGTTCACCATAGCTAGAATTTCTATTTTATCCAATTTTGAAGCTATTCGTTTTTTTGTGGCACTTTCAACATTCAATGAAAAGATTTTATACGTACCTATTTTGACATTTGACAAAAGTTTGAGAGCTATTTTGATCAGCTTACTTATGAGCGCTCAGTATCCCTTTTTTGGAAACGAAAGTCGAGAAAAATTCTTAAGACTTTTTTTTTATGGAGAGGCTGTAATTGCGATTAAGCATAAGATCACTTCATTGAATCGAACGTCTGCTAGTGAGCAAAAAATTGTCATTCATTACAGTTTGATAAACCAGTGTTCCGATTTTTCTCATCCTACTTTTCAAATTCTGAACTAAGGACAGTAAACCTGAATTCAGCAAACCCCCTAAAAAATCCAAAGCGTCAATTTTCTCATATTGTAAGAGGCTCAGGCGCCTCTGGGGACTTATTTTCAATTTATAGTTCCTGTACCCTGTACCTCCATTCACCACTATCATGCGTATGAGCACCTTCCTTTACTCTTACTCTATATTTTACTGTTCATTTCTGAGCCATCTGAAATTTTTCTTGGCCATAATTTTTTTCCTTTCCGTTTTTTGCTCGCCAAGCAAGCTTATCTGCTGATGGCAAATTAGTCTTACGACCGATCTGGACTTGAAATATGTAGGTAATTCAACAAAAGAGTGGAAAACTAAAATCTTGGGTATGATGCATTAATTAAATGCAAAAACACTATGCAAGAGGTATTTCCTATCTAAGTGATTAGGGGACAAAAAATATGAAATGCTAGTCTAACTGATTAAAAATTTTAATACTTATTTAGTTTTCAATTTGTACAATAAATACATTTTAAGGAATAAAAATACATGCAAAAAGAGGTATATAACTTACAAGGATGGAAAAAAGTGATCAGGATCAAATTTTGCAACTTGTCAATCCTTTACACTGACTGTAGTTATCCTATCTACTTTAAACAGTTGTTATCTCTTTCAAGTTTGGAGAAAAATATGAGACAAAAATTACATTAATTACACCTAAACAAAAATTAAAACATTAAATTTGTACAACTAAAAAATGCTGCTAATAGTGAAACTTCAAAACCATTTATCTAATACATTTTCTAACACTGTGGATTTAACTTGGGTGAAAAGATACAAATCTACAATTGCTTAGAATGAAGCATTAGATGATACAAATAAATTCGAAATATAAAGAGAGCTATGTAAGCAATGTATAGTAAACATATTGTGGGGCGAAGGAGTTCACACAAACACAACTAGGTACCTTTAAATTTTAAGAATCCTGACACCACTGATATATTTCATTTATTATTTCTTTGAAGAAAATCTCCTTTTGAGCTTTCTTACTATATTTGTGAAAGATGAAACTTTATGAGATCAAAATACTGTGTAGTTTTGAAAATGTTCCTAACAAGAGGGCAATGAGGCTCTTTATTATTTTGACATGAGTTCGCACTCTAGAACCTACTATAGGTCCAAGTAATTAAATACCTCTGATGAAGACACTAAGGTAAGTGCGCCAGTATCTGGTTATGCTCCAGTAGTCGAAAACTCGATCGATTTCCATAAAAAATAAGAGATTGCGTCAAAAATTTTGAAGGGAAACTATCTCTCTAGAATCTACACACAGAGAACAGCACATCCAATCATTTCAAGCAAATGATCCTTCTTCTTTATACTTTTTCTGTGCCTCCAAAGGGATGGACTTCGCAAATAGCCTCAAACACAGGTGAAGAAATGTGGATTACAAGAAACGTCTCTTTTCTAGAGAAGGTGATGAAACAGCTATTGAGGAACCAATGTAAGAAGAGGAACCTGAATCAAATTCTAATCGCCAAATCGCAGACGAAGATACCGATGAGTCTGAAGCGATGGATCCCACGCACGAATTTTGCCAAGGCAAACTACCTCAAGCTCTAACCAAAAATAAATTTGATGTGGTTGAGTTTTTTATCTAAAAATAAAAAAAAAATTTACGGCATAGGTCGTTTTACAGGCAGCATTGAATGGATTTCATTAATGGACGCTGTGTCAGCGTTCCATCACAGCTTGATGTATCAGTATCAGAAGTTCAAATCCTTAGACATTTCTGTTTTTTCTAGGCATCTGATGGAGATCTGCACTGCCAAAAAGTTAATTTTGTGAGACAGATCCTTGACGGTAAAGGAATTAGAAACATTCCGTCTATCATAATTTCTGGGATGATCGGTAAGTTAAGAAGTTATTTGTTTTTCGATTGTTTGATATTAAAAATTATAGTTTCCTGACAATCTTTGGAAGTAATGTGAAAAATTTAGAAGATCCATTTTTGCATTTTTTCTTACATTTTCAGTTTGTTCATTTTTCTAGACTCTCTTGTTTAGTTAAAATATTGCTCCTGAGATTTCCCCTGCTCCAACCCCCATTTTACTTGCTCGAGATGCATTACAGATAATTTGCCTATTTTCTCTTAATATCAAGTTCACAATGAAGACCAGGTACTTGATAGCTTTGTGGATTCTGACTTGAAGGATGTAACTGGCAGAAAATCTGTTTCAGGTTATTTATTTCAATTATTTGGGAACACAGTGTCTCGGAGTGCGAGGAAACAAAATTGTGTTGCCATCGAGTACTGAAACTGAAATAATATCGCTTTGCCGTTCGATCCAAGAAGGGATTTGGTTGGAAAAACTGGTAACGGATTTTCATATCAGAATGCATGAAGACAATTAAAGGTGTATAAATATGGGTTTGTTTAAATATCACAAAGAATCCTTCATGCAATAAACGAGTTAAACATATGGACATAAAATAAAACTATATTTCAGATTTATTGAAGAAAGAACGAATTTCTATTGATTATGTTGAGAATATGAAACAGTTGGCTGATATTTTAACCGAAGGTTTACCCAGGGTGCATTTTTGTTTCTTAAGGGAGAAACTAGGCTTGGTATAAGCAAACGTAAACATTCAGTGGGGTTGTCATGAAATATGACAACAACTGATATAAGTGTTGAATGACCTTTTCATTTTATGCGTAATGTTTGATCTCCGCGTATGTGGATGCTTTTTCTGGGAAATCCTCATTTTTCTTATTTTCTGATACTAATTCAACCCTTATTTTTTATTTGCAATATCCAGATCGCACATGAAACCTCTCCTGTCCTATCCTATCCAACATGACCAGCAAAGAAGAAGGCTGCCCAAAAGCTAAACTTTCCAAGATTAAACAAGCTTTCAAAGCTATCGAAAATGGGAAATGAGAGCGTTACCAGCTGCTGAAGAGTTCCGAATTCCAAAATCAACCTTCTATGCCAAACGGACAGGTATTTCGCCCTTAACATAAAAAAAAGGCTCAACATGTGTGCTCTCTGACTATTTGATTCGAGCACAGCCTCCGCTCCTCTCCAGCGTTTACGGCCAGGAGAACCGATCTGAGTTCGATTCGGTTCTCTCCCAGCCCTCGATCCAGTATTTGATATGAGTACATGCCTTTTTTACATTATACAATCACATTTATACTCGTCGAACAGATACTTGTTGAATGGATTATGCTGTATGGCAAGGCAGGTTTCCCTGTGACAAGGCATCAGGTTTTAATGAGTGCATCAAGTTTGGTACAAGAAATGGATCTTAGAACATAATTGGAAGAAACTTGCCAGTAACGCTGAAAAATGTCGCAAGAAAAACCGATCTCTAAAACCACCCAAGAGGCTTTAAAATTCGAAAACAAGAGGTAAGTCACGCTAAATCTTTACTGCCTCAAGCAAAAATTTGCTGACAAATGTTTTTCCGAGCCAGCAACATTGAATCTGTCTTAGGGTGCCGTTTAATTTCATAATTTATATGAACTGCTTATTCAGGACAGAATTAGTTTTAAGATTTCTTGTACCTTGCGTGATACTAATTTGGACACTCAATGGGAAAAGTCTGGGAGAACAACCTAATCTGGAAAGGGGCTTGGGGGGAGTCTCATTTTTTATGGGGCCCATTATTTTTTGGGTACAGTTTGTCTAGTTTCTCTCATGCATGAGGCTACCTTTTCTGTTTTTCAGAAACTGATTTTTTCTTCAAATGTTCAATTCCCCGAGTGGTTGAGGTCCCCCCCCCCCTCTATCTCACCTGTCTTTTTTTTGCGCCAGCATGTGATCACAGTCATCTCTTTTGGTTCCCAGGTCTCAGCCCACGAATGTGCCCCATGTGCCCCTCCAGGAAAGCAGCGAAAGCACATCGAGCTCCGCAAGCAGCTCATCGAACAGCTCATCTAACAGCTCATCAAACGAGTCTGATAATCACTAAATGCGCCTCATGGTCTGGCAACGGCGCCAGGTCCAAGTGTAAGGCTCCGTTTTTTAATTAAATATGTGACTTTTTTTTTTTAATCTTTCAGCCCTTAAATTTATATCATTGTGTTCCTTAGTGTATAGCGTTTCGAACTGTGTATTTCTTTTTTGTTTTTTCGATCTTTTTTTACTATTTTTTGTGAGTTTTCCATCTACCCTTCAAGACTTCAACTCAATTTTTCTCTCTCTGTTATATAACTTTTGCCTCAGAATTTTATTCTTATCTCACCAGTGTTGCCAGTTTTATCTCTTACTTGGATTTTTAGTGACTTAAACTTCGCTTGCTTGGCTCCATTGGCTCTGGAGATGATGATAATGATGATGTTTATTAGATCTATTCCCCTGTCCCCTAAATGCGTCTCATGGACTCACTCTTCTAAAGTTTCACTTATTGTTTATAATGTACTTTTCATTATTATTAAATTCTAATTTTTTGTTAAAATATCATTTAGTATCCTTTTTTTATCCTGCAAAATACTGTGGATCCAGAACTATTTTACCACCTTGCTAATATCATTCATTAAGAGTATATAAAGCTTTCACGACACAAAAGGTAGGTCTTTTGCTAAATTTTCTAAACAAAATGTAATACTTGATAAGTTATTGGGCGAAACATCACATGCTGTTAGGCCAATTTCTGTTGCAGTTGACCTATATGTTTGTATTTCTAGGAAGTGGTTATAAATTTAGTTGAAGTAAGAAGTTCACTTCTCATGATCTGACAGTATAGAGTAAGTTGGTCCTTGGACAGGTAGAGTAATTTTCAGAAATCATAAAATTAGGTTCTTTAGAGGATAATTTATTGATTAAATTTCCATTACGTACCTATTGTGGAGCCTCGCACCGAAGGGCCTCCCATTCTCATATCGTTTATGAAAATGGGAGACCCTCAGGTGCACTTCTCCGCAAGGGGCCTCCTTTTTTTTTTACATCAAAAACCAAGCTTAATTTTACCTTTTATTACTTTAAAAAAAGGTTTTTTTACAAAAAAAAGAAGTAATTTTTAATATTTTTTTTGCGTAAAAGTTCATCAATTTACATTTTTTTAAATGTAAAATTTACACCACAGTTGACGCCTTCTTGTCAATTTTACATAAAAAAGTGTTAGAATTTCTGTAATTTCAGACATCGCGCAGCAGAGCAATAGAAGGAGAATATGCAATGTTGCAGTTTTGTGGACGTGGTTGCTAGCGCGCTCCACTTCGTTAGTCGTTTTGAATACCGCAGTATGTGACGCCTCGGTCCAACACTTCTTGTTTATTAAAATAAAACCAATGTCCAACTTTACATCGATTCGCCTGCTTCATTGTTTAAAAAACAACAAAAAGACATAAATTTACATAAATTCCAGTTTTTTTTACGTAAGAAAAACTTAGATTTATATAAATTTAAGTCTTTTTTATGTCAAATTGGCAAGAAGGCGTCAACTGTGGTGTAAATTTTACTTTAAAAAAAAATGTAAATTCATGAACTATTACGTAAAAAAAAATTAAAAATTACTTTTTTTTATGTAAAAAAAAAAATTGCTACTAAGGCAGTGGTGATGCCGGATGACAATGACATAAAAATTATGACAGAAAAAGCAGAGGCAGTACAATCGCTTTACACTGAAAAGCAGAAGACAAAATTTTCAGCAAAATCTTACGAAGATCGATAATCCGTTTAAAAATAATAAACCAGGTAGAAAATGGTATGATTCGTAAATGAAGAGGCACCCAGAGAAAAATTTGCGCAAGCCACAAAACTTAAGAGTGTCCAGGGCCCAAAAGACGGAAGCATACTTAAAAAAATGGTCTGTTGAAGTTCAGAAAATTCTGACGGATGGTAAAAAAATACCATATATCTGAAGATGATATCAATGATGTTGATGATCCTGAGAGTGAACAATTTACACTGGGGAAAGGCTTCGAAATTTTAACAGATCCAATGCGAGTATTGAATGCTGATGAGGCAGCCTTTTTTTATAATCCCAATGATAACTGTCATGAAAAATGGCAACAACTGATATAAGTGTTGAATGACCTTTTCATTCCATGTGTTATGTTTACTCTCCTATCAGCTGACGCGCCTCGCCTGAGAGCAATGACCGAGGACAATTACCTGTATATAAGTATCTGTTTCATTAATGAAGTTTGTTGGTGTGAAAAGCCGATTCTACAGGTGCTGTCTTTTCCTCCTTACCCGTTCCACAAAACAACAAGGGGGAAGACGAGCAGTTGAGTGTGAAAAGAGAGGCTTCATTCGATTATGAGCCTATACATATGAAAACTTAAGAAAATACTTTATGGTATAAAATGCATTGAATGAAATTAGACAATGAGGTCGTCAACGCAAATTGCCGACAGATTCAACAGGAGAGTACAAACGTTAAAATTGTGGACTCATTCTTTTTCAGTATACTCTGTTTCCATGGCGTGGAGCGAGGTCAAGCCTCTAATAAAATGACCGCAAATTTTTATTTGTTAATTGTATCCATTCACTGCCCAATCAGGCAGTACTTGTATGTGCTAGCAGCCAGTTTCACCAATTGTGCAATTTTGTGTTTCAACAGCGCACTTCTGGACGAGTCAGCATTGCAAGCTCTCTCAATGTATGAAGACTTTCTGGTTTGGGTTTTCCGATGAAGTACCGAGTAGAATGCTTATGCCGCGCGTGTCCCCCAGCAGCTAAACTGGCATGATTGCAAACCATATGCGCTATATTTTGCTGAAGCTCTAGCGCGCCACACGCCAATTGATCCTATAAACGACAGGCTAAGGACTGTCTGTTTTGTTAGTATTGGTGAAATTAAGGAAGAAGGGTACTTTTCATGTAGATGCGAATCGTAACAGCAGATCAAACTCATCAGCCCATGATTTTTAGTGCTAAATAAATAATTGAAAATGTATAGTGATTTGAATTTTATGTGTAAATGTAGATACTGGATGATATCGGATACTGATGTGTCAAATAGTATCAACCCCAAAAACAATGTAACTGTATTGACATACAAACATTGCGTACTATCTAATGCCCTTCTACTTGTACCTCCCTCTGTTTGTTACAGATGTTGTACGAGTTAACCACCAGTTTCATGATTGTACAGCTAGTGCGTTTAAGGAAGTTGTAGAAAACTCGCTGAGAAATGCCAACAAAAGACTACTGGCGGATGTTAATGCGAGCAGCCACGTTATCAGTAAATCAGATAATCAGCAGTCATCCGCGCGGCAACCGCTAGAGAGCGCTACCAACCGCTAGAGAGCGCTACCAACCGCGTCAACTTACGATCGCTGATAAATTGCGTAATTTGATTTTAACGGCATCTCATAGATCCTCACATCAAATTGAGCAATTTTCTCCGCAGCTCTGAAAGGTTACGCAAGGTAAGAAGCTCAATACTCTTACATTCTTCAGAGTTCTAATTGCGCTGTATGCCATACACAGCAAGATTCGCTACATGCGGAAATTCGTAGTATGGACCCTATACGCTGCATGATACATGATACATACGCAGAATGAAACTTTCCCTGTATGCTTTTCGCAGCATGACCCCTCTTTATCAATTAATCAATAAGAAGATTTCATTTTGTTCTCATACATTTTCAGCTTCTTGAGCCATTCTCATTTCCCCATTTTTTTTATTATTCCCGTTGTACTTAGCAATGCGCTAGTACGAACGGCGTGCCTCTAGAACACCACTAGGGATGTCTCTTTTCTAATTTTCTCTCATTATTAAAAGGCAGTAAATACTGAACATGGTGACCTCGACGTGATCAAAAAAAAAAAAAATCCTGAAAATTCAAACCGTAGTGACCCTTCTCACCCCATTAGCAAAAATAGAATAAACAAAACGGGTCAATCACGAGACGTGATAAAAAAAAAAAAAAAATCCTGAAAATTCAAACCGTAGTGACCCTTCTCACCCCATTAGCAAAAATAGAATAAACAAAACAGGTCAATCATGTAATTCATAATTTTGAGAACTAGCCCTTAGGAGCTTAGGCATAGATTGCGCTCCTTTACCGCCGCAGTGGTGCCACATTTGCCATACGGAAAAGACGCACTCTCGCCCTTTAGTATCAATGGACATCACATTAAGTCCGATTTTGAGACAAAGGTAGCGTGCGTTCACACACACATTGCATTTGGTATTATTCATGCATGGCTAACTCTAAAAGCCACCATTTAATGCATATGATAAATATTGACAAATACTTCACATTACAGCATTTCGGATTTTGTGCACGGCAACTTCTTGCCCCACCGTTAGGTGCATAGGAAAATCACGCTAAAAGTATTGTAAGTTTACGCACAGGTAACTCAAGTTACAAACATTAAGTGCACCAAAAAATTCTTATTAGTACAACAGTCTGAGTATACAACTTGCAACTTTGTCACATTTAAATCTTTAGTTGTTCTATTATGGCTGGAGACGAAAATTAACAAATTGGCGGTGGTTTGCAACCGTCAACCTCAGAGCTTAAGGCTAATCTTGAAAAGCTTCAAATATTGAAATTACAAAGACAGGATATATTTGCCGCAGTCCAGAAAATTTATGATCAAATAAAAGCCGAAATTAAACCTTCAAATTTCGAATTATATCAAGGCTTGATGGATTGACTGGTCAAATTACAAGAAAATATGGATTCAATTCGTCACGAGATGATTATGTTCAATTTTAAAGTAGCTGAAAAGGAAAGAGTGGCAATCAGTGAAACTCAAGAGGCCTTTGACACACTAGTTCTTGCCACGCAACATTTGTTTATTTCTGCAAAAAAGAAAGGAACAGCAGCTAGCACCTCAGGAGAAAATCCACAAAATATTGAAGGAAGATTATCATCTAACAACAACGTGAAGCTGCCTCGCCTTGAATTACCAAAATTCTCGGGAAAAATGAATGAGTGGTCTGCATTTTATAGTTTATTCGAAGCAAGTATTCACAAGGCGCTAAACTTAAATGACATCGAAAAATTCCAATATTTACTGTCAAAATTGGAAGGTGAAGCTAGACAACTCGTAGGCACCCTAGAAATGACGTCTGAAAATTACTCAGTCGCTTGGGACTCGTTATGTATAAGATACAACAACGAAAGAAGGCATGTTCATCATCACTTTACCAGTTTGTGAGAATTGCCAGACGCACAGCAAAATGCATCATTGCCAAATCTCTCATCTAAAATTCGAGCGTATATTAATGCGCTCATTGCGCTAAAAAAGGATAAAAACTCGTATTCGTTATTACTCACAACCATTGTAATTAGCAAGCTTTCTTTCACATTAAGGCGCAGATTCGAAGACTCCCGTGAAAACTCTTCAAAATATCCTCAGTTCGACGAACTTGAAAAATTTCTTCACGCTGAATGCTCTCAGCTGGACAACTATACTACAAGATCAAACTCCGATTCCCACGCAAAAAATTCTCAAAAAAAATCAGGAAACTCACGGAACTTTGTAGCCACTGAAAATACTGTCCATCAGGAGAGTTCAAAAAGAAAAGAATCAAGATCAAAAAATCAAGAGAAAAACATAGATCCAAGTTGTAACCTGTGCAAAAATCCACATGCTATTTATCCATGTGAGAAGTTCCATGCTTTAACAGTCAAAGGTCGACAAGAAAAAATCCAAGAATTCAAACGATGTCCAAATTGCCTATCGATATCACACGAAAATACACAGGAATGCAAAAGCAAATGCAGGTGTCAGGTTTGCTCTGAAAAGCACCACACATTATTACATCAGCCTCAAGGAAGTTTTTTGTCAACTTCGGATGATTCTTCCGGAAATGTGAACTTAGCATCAAAAAATGGAAATCAACTGACAATAAAAGAAACAACTATCCTTGGAACAGCTATTGTAAATATCAAATCAGCTAATGGCAAATTTTCACCCGTTCGAGCTGTCATTGATTCGGCGGCAATGTCATCATTCATTACCTTAAAATGTGCTAGTCAGCTAGGATTGAAATTCAACAAAGTTGAGATGCAGGTATCAGGTTTGGGTGATGAAGAGCTCAAATGCTGGGGAGACCTTAACTTAACCATTAAACCTCTCCATTGCTCAAGACCTGAGTTAACAACCAAGGTTGAAATTCTAACTAATGTGTTGGCATGGTGTCTCCGTTTTATACATAATTCACGCAAAGGCCCTTCTAAAATTATGGGAGACATCAATGTCGAAGAACGTAAAATAGCTATTCAACGCACAGTTATGATGATCCAGAGGGAATATTTTGCCAAAGATATCATGAACATAAAAAAGGGCAAGACCTGCTCCAATCAACTAGCCAGTCTCAACCCCTTTATCGATGAACTGGGCATCCTCAGGGTGGGGGGTAGATTAAAAAACTCAAATCTATCTCTTGAATCAAAACACCACTCTCATTATTAAAAGGCAGTAAATACTAAACAGTGGAAGGGAAAAAGATGCCCCGAGGACCTCTAAGGGTACCGGGTTATGTATAGTTATTAGTTTAATTGTTGTTCAGTTTCGAATAATAATAATATTGATTCTGTCCATTTTTTCTAGATTTCGAATAATATTTTGGCTTGAGGCTCGATTTTTTAAACAATATCAATGTTTGATACAGCTTAGTCAACCAAATTTGACAGTAAAATGTGTTTCAAATTTTTGTATTTTATAAGTGCATTTAGATATTGCATGTACTTTTCCTGTTGAATAGTTTTGTACTTTAGTCAATTTTTTCTAGTTTTACGTGTATTTATGAATAAGGCAGCAAAGACAGTACCTACTTTATCACTCTCAATTGGAGTAGCCATGATGGAGATCATGGACTCCAATTCTTGGAAACGGATGAAGAACTGAAAATAGAGGATGTGACCATTGATATGATTACAACAGTCTTCCTCGAATATAGAAACCTCATCCCTGCGACTCAGACTACATTCGTGGGCTGCTCTGCAAGTCATTATTGCTTGCCGCAGGAATATTTTTCACTCTCATAGGAAAGGATTTAAACAACTAGAATTTGAGCCAGTGGATGGAGCATAGACAAGATTCGTTTGCGGCACAATTAATGTTACTATCCGATGATCAAAAGCTACCTCATCTCCAACCAACAATTAGAGTCTCTAAATCATTTTATCACGAGGTCAGATCCTTTTTAAGATTTCGTGGACAATTTTTCAGCAAAATTTAATCTACTGACGAGATTTGTGTATGTATAGTGGCTAAGTGTGGCTACTTGTGAACAAATCTTATATTTCTATTAAGTAAAACTCATAAAAAGTGCGTATTTAGTCATAGTTTTGTCCTTAACTTCGTCTTACTACTGGAACAAAAGCTCATTTAGCACTTTTTATATAGTTCATCTTTCTACAGATTTTCACATCATAAGTTTCTTTGGTCCCAAATAATATTAACTTTCACAATAACTTGATATGCCAGAAGTCACGAAACAGCTTAGAAAATACAATGTGATATGGGTTCGATTGTTTGAGTCTGTGGACAAGATTTGGCATTCAAATACTATTCCCCTTTCTTCTGAGATCCTTAGTGTGAACAGTTGCAAAATGGAAAAAATTAATCATGGACAATCAGTTTAAAAATACATAAGAAGCATCTGCCTTGAAATTGACAGCCCAACACAACTGCTAAAAAAATCTTCTATTGCCTTTGATTCTCTGAATAAAAGAAGATACCTATATTTGACCTCTCCTTGTAACATTCAGGGCTTCATCCAAAAGCAGTTCATCAACAAATGCGGAAGGTATAGAACATCAGTAATAGGACATACACCTTTTGTTGGTGTAGAATCCACCATTACGAAGAGGAGGATGGAAAATTTTCCCACTTCTCCAGAATCGTTCCAAAAACTGGAACATAAAATGCTGACAAGCTCCTGAGGGAAACTTGGAATGAGAAGCCATTTTTTCAAGAGTGTCAAACAAGAATAAATGACTCTTTCACAAATGTAATTTATCAGGGGGGGAAAGAGCGGACAATTCCTCAAAACCCCAAGCGTCATCTTACTTGACACTACTCAAAGATTAGGCTGGCTTTGCTTTATTTGTGCCAGTTATTAACAGAAATAGCTCCTCTTGCCTTTTTGCTCTAATATCCTGAAAATTATTACCCCTTGTGACATTTTAAAAATGACAAATGCATATGAAACCTAACAATTTCATAGCACACAAGTTGTAATTTTTCATATTCTCTTCCTGGCTCATGGCACTCATTACGTGGGCTTCAATGCAGTCTCTTCTCCTTTTGAGCCGTTTGTAGCACTCCCACCAATGGAGCAAGACAAACAACACTCTAATGCCTGTGTGGCTGGACGGTGCAAATCAACGCATTACTCAAGCATCGACGAATAGTGGGAAACAATTCCAATGCTACGCATTTGTTGGCCAACACAACATTGACGGTAGATTATTGTAGTAACATGAATTTCCAGACAAATTTACGAGAAATTCCTTACTTCATCAGTCAAATTAACTATTCCGGTAGGAGGTGAAAGGTTCCTCAATTAGAGTAATTCCAACCTCATACGATTATGCCTGAAAAAAACAGGCCTTAGAAATTTACAAAAAGAAGTGTTAACAACATAATTTGTAGCTATCATGAATTAATGCCACCTTACAACCCTTGGCATATGAGTCAACATTCATAAATCTTTCTTCCTGAGCCACAGAGCAAAGGAATGCATGAACTTCTAAATTATTTGTTATACCGATGATGGATTGTTCTGCTTATTGGAACGAAGTCGAGCAAGGCCAGATCTCTCCTCTTCTTCATCACTGGTGTAAGATGACATGCCTGCGACAGCGCCCCGTGATGATGTTGCTTGCATTAGTTCCTGATCAGGGGCATTTCTGTTTTCATACAGGAGAATATTCAACGTTTCCTCATAGATTCGTGCCTCAGGGAATTCAACCTGAGAGAAAGATAAAAAAGAATCATTTTAATTAAACGTACTGAGACAAGTATGGAACTTGATGAATCCTGATATAAACAATGAACAGAAAGAGGTAAATCCCACTTAAAAAGTACAGGGTGTCTAGTATTTTTTAATTTTGAAAAATCCTGATATTTTCCTGATATTTTATAGAATATTCCTGATTTTTTCATTTTAGAATTTCCTGATATTTTCTTGCTTTTTCTTGTAAAAACTATATTTATTGCAAAAATGCATGCAGAAACTAAGTTTTCTGATGAAGTTCTTATGATTAGAAACTACTATAAATACAGTATAAAATAAGTATAAAATACAGGCGCTGACGATGGACGGAAAATTTTGATTTCGCAAAGACGGCGACACTGCAATGAGGCCTTCACTATACGACACAAGGGACACGGGTGAGAAATTATCAGAAACAAAGACGGCGTGATGACTCCTGGCACGGTAGGCAAAAAGCAGTAAGACTTTTCTGCTGAGGAGATTTGCGTGAGAAAAACTCCTGATAAAGCGTCCGATTTTTCGGATTTTTCCGATTTTCCTGATCGGCCATAATTCCTGATATTTTCCGGTTTTTCCTGATGATAGACACCCTGAAGTAGATGCTCAGCAACTGAGAAATCACAAAGGTGCAGAAAATTGTCTCCTCTCGACATTTTGCAGGATCCTGAAGAAAAGCTTTCAGATTTTTTCAATCCAGGGGGGTTGGACCCAAAAAAACAAACATTGGAACAAAAACTAGACAAAATGACCGAAAAAGTGAAGTACTACCCAAAGTTTAAAACAAAAAAAGCTTGAAAGATTCTCTCCCTTCTCTAGAATTCTGGAATAGAATACACATTTTCTAAAAAACAAGAAAAAAAAAATCAGAGTTGTAAAATCAGTTTTATCATAAAAATATGACATACCAGTTTCAAAATTGCCAGAATTTCAACAAAAATTGAACACAAATTAACATGAAAAATTTTAAGTTTTTAATTTTTATTTTAATTTTGCAAAAACTTGCAAAATGTTGCAAAACAAAACAGCAGACTCTTTGTTCTAGATTTGAGCAATTTACAAATGGTTTGATAAAAATTTAAGATGAGGACCAGTTGGTTAATTTGATGTAAGGTTTTGGGTTTGCAAATTCTAGAATTTTACGGATATTTGAATAGCATCCGATGAAAATCAAGCATAATCTTGAACATTATCGGCAGCAAAAAATTTAAAATCACACTTGCACAAAAACACATGCTAGTAATATGTGTACAGAGGGCAAACAAAACCATATTCTGTGCCTAATATTCTGCAATCAACTTGCTGCCTTTCCCTTGTTGTGATAAACATGTACATGTCCCTCTAATTGAAATACAGGATGTGCTTACTTTGGTGTGTTTCTTATCCGTAGCGTATACAATTGAAGTGCAACAAACTTCAGATACTTTTTTACAGTGACCATAGAAGCTCCAGCAACAAATTTCACTCGAGCCAATGACATCCTTTATAAAAAGAACTCGTCCACTGAATCTTAAGGAAAGCTTGTCAAAAAGCTCAATGTTTTTCAATAAGTTGTCGTCTGACGCTCTGAAATTAGAATGAATTGATTAATTAGATTTAAATAGTGAATAATGGTGAAAGTAATACAAGCTGATGTTTTGTAATTAGGTACATAAATACACCTTTTCTGCTTTCCAACTGAATTTGAATACGTTTGCAGCAAAAAAATCTATCTTCCCGAGAGTCCCTTCATTGATAGACTCTTTTTGCATAAGTGCATAAATGTTCCCATTTGAGCTTTCATTTACGCTGATTAAGTAGAGCTGCTCAGTAAACAAGGGATCATTAGAAACAGAGCACTTCAGGCGCAAGGGCAAGTCTGTCGCATAAGATGACCATCAAACTGAAGGCAGCAACCAACGATCGATCAAAGGAACTTGATCGGATGTTCTTTAACTGATGACTAGGGTGCCTTGAGTCGTCGGTATGCATGAAGGACTTTGGCGCCTAACGTGCTGTACCCAAATAAATTTATCAGTGAGGAGAAGTAAAACTCATTTACCAGGGTGACAAATAATCTTAGTTTTAAAACTGCTCTACCTTCTCAGGCGCTTTGAACTAAAAATTCCCTAACTTTTCAGTGTTTTTCTTTTTGGTAAGGTATGTCATAAAATTCTTTCCACTTAAAAAATAGTAAGCGGAAAGTCTCTTCTAAGTAATTGAAAAAATGCAACGTTTTGACTGGAGGGAAATATTTTAAAGTTTTGTGGCAAAATTCCTTGACTTTTCAGGATCCGGCAAAATTTCCATGTTTTCCCTCACTTTTCAAGAACTTGTCTCTCTGATCTATTTAAGACGTGACTTTGATTGCTCTTTCATTTTTGCGAGGGACCTGTGTAGAGTACGTATGCAGCTGTATTGTGTTAAAAATGAATAAGAAAAAATTAAAACCGTAAAATGCAACAATCATAAAGCTTAATTTAAATTGGTATTTAATCAAGATTCGTTTGGAGACCCGCACAAGATAGTTGATCAACTAAAAATTGTAAAACTCACTTGCACGTAAAAATTTTTACTTACAAGTGAGTTTTACGATTTTTATTTGGTATTTAATCATTTTTTTTTCTTCGTTAAACGATCTTTTTACCAGAATACTGTCAACTATTCAAAAAAAAGCTCATTTTTCAAACTTAATCCCCTAATAAGAAGGTAATGTGTACCTACCCTTCTTTCTGCACCCATCTCTTGCAACTGAGTGTATAAAATATTGCAAGTACCAGTTATAAAATCTCCACGACCAATGAAGATAAAATTTAAAAAAAAGAAAATTTTTTTTTGAAGAACTCCTTTGCTAATGACTTCAGTTTACTGGTTTGCAAATAACACTAATGTTTGTCTAAACATCTGGAAATATCTGAGTAGATGGGTGCCTCTAAAAATCTTTTAAACATGGAATGTACAATTTTGAACATGTAGTATTGAGAGGTTGGTATAGAAGAAAACTAATGTCATTTGCAACTAAGTGGAAGGATATGAAAAAATGAGTAAATTTGAGGAGAATCTATATCACCAATGGACAGTAAAGGATCAATTTTTCATTCCTACCTATTTCATTAAGACTGTTGTTACAAATTTCAAGGTGATTCGCCGAGCTCAAAAGAAGCGGTCGAACTGGCATGCAATATATTGCCTCTTTGAGGTAAAAAATCTCCGCAGATTTTGAATTTTTAGCAAAACAAAGGACGACAGCCCCTGCGCATGAGCCTAAAGAATCATTTTAAACACAAAAATTGGCAAAATTCAGAGAAATGAAAGCAGAATAGTGTTTGGAAAAAAACCTTGCATTTGATACAATAATCAATAGCTGCATTGAATGGGAGGTTTTTTTCCAAACACTATCCTGCTTTTATTTCTCTGTTCGCCGATTTATTACTTTAGAATGATTCTTTAGGCTCATAGGAAGGGGCTATTGTCCTTCGTTTAGCTAAAAATTCAAAATCTGCCGAGATTTTTGACCGACTGATACGTTATATCGCATGCCAGTTCGACCACGTCACTTGAGCTTGACGAATCACCTTAACCAAACGAACTCATTTAAATTCATGGAAGATTGGTTAGAGCTTTAAATTTAAAAGAAAAAGTACAGAAAATTTACTCACGTGGTGTATGAGTACTTATTGTTGTGGCGATTAATCAGTAATTTGACGACTGGCTGAAAAAAGGAAAACAAAGAAAATTATAAGAAAAAAAATTATTTAATTATCGTCACAAGACAAGCATAATGTATCTTTTATCGACGATTAAGTACAATTTTTGTTACATTCAGCAAAAGTTAACACAAGTAACACTTACTTTGAGGGTAGAGTTGATTAAAATCTGTTCTTCTCGAAGGGATGTAATCAGCGGCACACGACAAATTGGTTCCGCCTCCCTTTCAAGTTTTTTTAGTGCTTGGTCGCATGATTCAGATAATTCAGAAATGCAGTAGTACTTTGCTTCAGCCATCAGCTCGGCCATTTCTTTGACAGTGTCAGGAAGAGGCACAACTCCGTCACGTAAAAAGTTTAAAATTGCTCCAAAATGTTTGCCAGAACGATCAATTAAAATCCAACCTGAAAATTAAAGATGATGAGAAATTATATATCTATCAATAACCTGGGTATTGAAGGAAAATACGAATCAAACATTTTGGAAAAAAGAGGGACATTTTTAAGATGCAAAAAAAAAAAATCACCAGAAATTACTGCTTATGATTTAGAGAGAAAAAAGGAAAACTTCGATTCAGGGGAGATTTCAATTTTCAAAGTATGTACCTTGAGTCCAACTTTCCTTGGTTATTTTCTGATTTATAAAGAGAGCTTATTCTCTGTGAAAAAATTACGAGAAGAATCAATTGTGAAAAATCCAAGAGGGCAGGAAATTGGAGACTGCAGAGTGATATAATCTTGGAAACCATTATTTGAAATATGGGTGCTTTATTTCTGACCTCTGCTACTGTAAGTACCTATGCATATGAAATTGAAAAATTTAACCAGTGGATTTCCCCGAAAAGTTCGGAAGATTTTTTCTGGACAAATCTTCTAGCACAGAATGATAGAAATTTTCGATAGATTTCTTACTTAATTGTGTTGGAATTGGTAGATGATCTTGGGGGTCAATTTCTGACAGTTTCAGCTTCAACACAATAGAATGGTTGCATTACTACTGTACCGTGCGAAGGAAGAACACCAAAGGAACAATCGAGAGTTGCCAAATTTCCTTCATTAGAATGTTCATTCTTGAGGAAGATATGAATATTTTTCCTTGGAATTTTCAGGGACTTTAGGTGAAAACGCAAACAAAATTATCTAAAAAATTGGAAGGAAAATATTTATTTCTTTACCAGGAATTTTCTGTCTTGCCAAAGGAAATTTGGCAACGCCTGATGGCGCATACAGCGCTTTTCCTTGGCACGGCTGAACTGCATACATGAAGCAGCACTCTAGATACTTATTTACCTCTCTTAAACAGCTCCACTTCTCAGATTACATTTATTTGTGTACAACTTTCTGAGTGAGAAAATGCAGCATTCACCACATGATGACTAGGAATTTTAGGTTTATTTTAAAGTATGACTTGCAATTGCTTCCTATGTAACGGGGTCTTACCCTACTAGAGGGAAACGGCACATACGCGTGAGTACGAGTCATTACGGTGCAGCAATTAGGACATATTTTCAACTGTACCCTGAGTTGAAAAAGATAATCAGACCTTGGAATCTCCATGTTTATTAGATCATTTTCAATGTTCCCATCAAGTCCAAAGAGAAGTTGACAGCTGCTCATGACCCACAGGATTCAATATCAAAACAGAATTCAAGGGAGAATTGAAAATCCTTAATAAACTATCTGTCAAAGCTGCAGAAAAGGAATAATAAGGATTCAAGATGAACTTGGTCCAATCCTTACAAAAGTAACATCTTCCAGCTAAAAAGGGCAAGGAGAAGATCCTTACCTTCTGAGTCAGTCAACACTTCCATCCGCCCACTAAACATAGCTCTGAGCATGGTGTCATGTTTGGTGAGTGTTCCGATAGTTGTATAGTGTAAAGAGCCACCAACATTCAATTTAACGTATTGAGATGGATTACCTATAATGTAGTTTTTGTGATCACCTGACATTCTAAGCCAGGCGCACAATTACAGGCAACTTCCGATGTTACCTCTGAAAACTTGAGACGCTTAACAAGAATAATATGAATGTAAACTGCTCAACTATACCAAATAATTGAATTCGCTGTCAAAATGAAACAATCCTGGGCACTTGATCGAATAGGAGACACTATGAACAGCTGGAATCAGATACTTCAGTTGAAGATTTCAGAACAAGAGAGATTGAATCCGATTGTCATGAATGATCTGAAACTGTTTCAGATTATGTTTTTGGAACGAGCATTACCAGGGACGAGTTCTATAGAAGAGTTCTATAGAACTGGTCCCTGGCATTACGTACCAAAACATTTTGCTGTTGCCAAAATATTTTAAAAACTTAAAATTTTACCCCCTTTTAATTACTTGGAAGCCTTTATTTAGGTCTAAGTTCGATGAAGCACCCATAAAAATATTGAGTTATCTCACTTTAAATTTTCTCATAGTTAAAAATTGAGGTTTCCTCGATTAAATTGAGAAATTGTGCTTTATAATCAGTAGTAAAATTTGGCGCTTTTACAAGGTAGAACTTGGCAAAACATAACCATAACCAAACTTTTGTGCCGGATGCAGAAGTGATAATCCCATGTGGGTCGATGACTTTCAAAGTTCAAACTTTAGTCTTATCACTTTTTAAGGCTTCCTTTCCTCCCTCTTCGGGCGTCAGTTCGAACCTCCATTCTATTTTCTTCTCCTAAGTTGTTTGTTAGTGATTAATTTGTCGTTTTACTTCAGTCAAAGATATTTTTACAATGGAGAAACTTGTGGAGCAAATTTCTACAGAAATGCACTCATCGTTTCTTCGAGACATGCAGGTATTTACCTCCTCTAAGTATTTTTAATATTTCCTCTTTCTTCTATCCAGGACCAATTCTAAGTATTAGTCACCAAGGGCACACAAGAGAGAAAAAGTTGGATGGAGAGGAACAGACGGCAAAGGGTTTATATTAATCGTCTAGGAGATGAATCAAATTTTTCCTGACTTATTCACCACGAGCAGGATCCATCTCTTGCTGTATATACTACACTATTTTGTTCCATTGGTGATCCTAGTCGTTGGCTTAAACATTCAGCTGCCAAGAATGTATGCCTGTAGACACTTATGCCGCAATACTCATCAGTGCGGTATTCAAGCTGCGACAGGTACACGGTGGCTTCACTAACTATTGTGAAGAGGATGAAATAAAGCAAGACTCCCACAGTATCATGCATATCTGTACTGCAGCCGTACATTCATTCTTTTTACATTTCAAGAATGACGCAACTCTTTCCTACATTATCCATGATTCCTGGCAATGTACCTACACTGAAAAAAAAGGATGCTGCCTTAACATTCTGGATGCAAAACAGTGTACTGAAACTCACAAAATGCTGAGTAAACCGTCATATCAGTTACTACAGCAATGTCAAGATGTGAAGCTAACTGTTCTGGCGGTAAACTCAGTGTTTTGTGAGTTGTTGCACACTTTTTTACATCCAGAATGTTACGTCAGCATCCTTTGTTTTTCCGGTGTACTTAGTTGATCATTTTAAGTAAGCATGATAGTTCAACCTGGCCCTCAATTTCTTCTGTCAACTTATAAGAGTTCAATTTATTTATTTTTGCCAGAATTTGAAATTTTCTAGCAGGTGACCTGAGAGATCCAGTTTCTTTTTTTCTCTTCAAATTTGCCCATCCTTTTACGTTCTGTTTGGAACTTATTGGTTTATCTCTGGTTATGTTACAAATGAAACACCACTTAAATGGAAGTTTCTGGTCTTGAAGTACTTTTTGAAGTAAGTTAAATCACTGCGAGGGTACCTTGAAACACTTATAATCTTATTATCAATTCATTCAGACATTCATATTTCACCCCTGTTTCAGGCTAAAATGCATCTGTGTGCAGCAAAGTGCTGCCAAGACAAAAGCAATACATACGAAGATACTCAGAGGTGTGTGCAACTTTGCTCGGAGCCACTGAATAATGTCAAAAGATTTGTTGAAGCTGAGTTCAAGACATTTCAGGTGTGTTAAAATTGATAAATCTCAAAGTTGACAATAATATTTGTTGTTGTTGAATAGCCTAACTTGCAAAGTTTATAGGTACCTAATTTGTCATTTTTCAGGATTACCTTTTCTCTTTTGAAAAGGTATTAGTCAACCTTATTGTCTGAAGTTTTGCAGAATATTCTTTCAACAAAGAAGTAAACTCTCGATCAACAAGAAATTATGTTGATTAAGTTGTTTTCCATTTAAAAAATAAAGTATGATTGGAAGTATGCAATGCCAGATAAAGAGATACATAGTTCCCGAGTTTATCCATTGATTTATGTAAGTTTCTCCTTCTTTGTTGAATGAAGAGTTGTCCGACTTCAAAGAAAGTGTAATAAGTAAGTAGCGAGAGCAGAAGCTTCTCCACTCTACTATAAGACCAATACTGGACATGAGTTTTACTTCACCAAGAGAACAAAATTAAAAAATAAATGCATACAATACCATAGACTTCGAATGATTTATTTCAGATCATAGATTATGATTTTTGAAGATCTATGTTTGTAACTCGGTTCATCTTTTATCTCTGTGTTTTCTGAAGCAAGAACTCAACTCAAAATTTTCCATTTTTTTCCCTCAAGGAAAATACCTCAGTAATCGTTTTAATCATCTTGGGTGTTTTTCAATTTCTTTAGAGCCAAGCAGATTCTTTTTTTTTAACTAAATATACTGCTCTTTTCTTTCAGAATCGAGTTGACAGATGTCTCATGGACTGCAATGATTCAATACAAGATTCTATGGGACCAGATCCATCACCTGCTGAAGTTAGTTTGGTCGTCCTTATTATTTATTTATTTATTATTTATTTTATTTTGCAGTCGGTACATTTATTCCCTTTAAGGTATCGTACAAGTTAGATTACAAGATAATAGCACTACAAGTTAATAATTGTTTCTAACAATTAATCGAAACAAAAATGCATTTAAGAATTTATCAAAAATGCTTTTAAGAAATAATTTAATTTAGGCAATGTAAGAGCAAAAATAGGAAAATGACAGAAGCAATGGATTAAGGCCAGAGATTTGAAAGGTCGTCAACATGGTAGAAGTTCTAACTTCTGGTGAAAGTTACTTGTGTAGCATGGCGCATTCATTGGAAATTTCCAGTTTTAACTTCAAAGGGAGAAATGAGCATTTTTCATGTATGCAATGCTGTTGGATTAACCAAAATCCACTGGAATCATAAGAATTGGACCTAAAATTTATTTCAGTATATTTTTCCACATTCTCCTGAAAAAAAAAAGGTTTATGTCAGCATGGGCCCTCTTACTGGAGAATGTCTTAATCCTCAACTGAAAAATATCACATCTAACTTGTCTCTTCGCACAAAAATTTTAAAAAAAAAAACCTTGGCACCTTTGACTATTTCATTAACACTGTTGTCCTGCCATCTATGCCCTTCTTTAAATTTCTACACCTCTTGTTTTACAGATTCAGACCCACGTGAAAGCATTTGAAAAGTGCGCTGAAAAGTGTTTAGAAAGTCATGCAGGCTTAGTGCCAAAGTTTCTAGAAAAAGTGAAGCAATATGCCAAAAATTACAACTAGTAGTCTTTCCAAAAGTTAATTTCGTATTCACCATTTAGGTAAGTTTTTCCATACTAATATAAGTAATGTGTTCTCCTAAGTAGGTTCCTCTCTCTAAGCAAGAGAATCTGCAAGAGGAACTAATTTTTGATGGCTAGAAAGAAAATGGTGTGCTCGTCTTCATGTGGATTCCCACAACTCTCCACTGACTATTATAAAATAAAATAATTGCAGTGTATTCCGAGCAAACAGCAAATTTACAATCAGGATACTGCGAAAACAGCTCCCTTTATTTTTGTTTCTTGCCAATCTGAATAAAATTGACTCAAATGTATGGAAGAAAATTGGTCTTAAAATCAAAGTAAAAGAATTTCTCAACACACTCATTGAATTTGTCTCTTGTTGATCTGAATTAGTAAAATAAGCATTCAGAGAAAAATTAATAGGAGAATTAAGATAAAAATGGAAAGTTCATGTAAAATGAAATTTTACTTTTCAGCAAAATGAAATTCTATGTGAATTTGAAACTTTTGTATTCCTGCATAGCTGTATTTTGGTATAGGTATTTTTGGTTACTAAATCTGAAACTAACATCCATCATTCACAATCGCATGCACCTTTTAAGTGCGCCGTTCTCAGAATGGGTCGCTTTTTACAATCGGTGTGCAGGGACTATTCTATTAGCATCCTTTACCATTGACCAGAATAGGGATTTTGATCAAATCACTTCCTCCTCAGCGTGGTGACTTCAGAAGTATCATTTAAACCCGTTTTTTTTTTTATGTCTATGGCTTGATAAGTACATTCGCAAGTGTTAGCAGTTTATTCGTAATGTGTGAAGCCTAAGTTCTCTATCTAAATTATTTTAATATGTTCCTTTTAATCAATGCGTTTGAATTTCGTGGTGCATGATCAGGTGAAGTCATTCGCATGTTCGATTTGGTGTTTGACCCTGGTTTGACATACCAACCTTTCCTCTATGTCATGTAGACAAAACAAAATAGGTTTTGTCAATGAAATATCTGGAAACTTTCAAAAAGTGATATACGGAGTGGAAATTAAATATCAAATGAGAGGAAATGAAATCGTTTCTACTTTGTCATTTTATCCAGTGCATTTTCCAAATGATTGTTGTGGCCTTTTTTTGGTGTCTTGTTATTTGTGCAAATGACCAGCATGAATTGAAAACTTATAAAAAGCTATGGTTGGAGTCAGGTTAAAAAAATCAGATGAGAGGAGATGTAAAATCTTCTACATTTCATCATTTTATCTGTGCGAATATCATGAGCAATTTTAAAGTTGTGCCTTGAATAATATGTGACTACCAAATGTTTGCTCGGCTGCACTTACTCCTTTGAATTCATGAGGTAAGGAGATTATTACTGAACCAAAGTTGACAACATGTCAAGTAATTCTGTGGCGCTGGGCTTGAAAGGCAATAGATCAGTTACTGCCAATCGGTGGTACTAGTAGAATGCAATATTTCAAAACATCGAACATTGTTTATGGACAATACTTATCACCTGGTCACAAGGTGCTACGATTACTAAGAGACACATTCCTCATTCCTACTGTCTCGGTAAACCAGGTATGGGATTCATTTGAAAGCATATAAGGATTGTAAAATTGCAGAAACACGTATCTCAATTACGGG